GAGAGGGCGACCCCTAAAACAAAATATGACGAGTTCTAAGCCATTGAACCCAAATAGAAGCAAAAAAGGGGAATACATACAGTGGCCAACGAGATGGGAGACAAGAATTTCCTCCTAGACTTTGCCACTAAGACCCATTCCATGTCATAACTCATCCTTCATAAAATTACTAACAAGTGAATTGGGATTAAGTCTATGTCTAAAACAAATCCAAAAATGTTAAAAATTTATTTACAAATTCATACTTAATTTAATTAGGAAATAGTACACATTGTACTCGGATAAGAATAAGACCAAATAAAACTATCTTCATATGGAATTTTAAGTAGCATTTAGATAATGCACGCCAAATTCCACTTGATTTTGATAGAACTGAATGCATTATCCCAATTCCACGTGAAATTCGATATGAGAAGATGAGGTTCCTTTTCATCATTTTAAGGGAGATCTTTATCTGTTGAACTAAGTGTAAATTTGCAAATAAATTCTATAAAAATGTTGGACTTGTTGCAAAGATAGCCTAAGGAGATTGAGAGTAGAATCATCAAAGCCTTCTTGATTCAGGACACTTGAGAAGAAACTTAGGGATTCACTCTCACTTCGAGCATTTTTTTTTTGAGATAAAAGTAAGAAAATGCATTAAAAAGTGGTACCAATGAGATACTGCTCATATACAAAAGAAATGCCCCTTAACCAAAGTTCTGCCTATCTTCAAGATTGTCATTAGGATTTGACAGAATATCTTCCGTCCTTAGAAAGCTTCCCACATGGATAATCAGTGGAAGCTCACTGAATAAAGGTTACGCTCCACACAAGAGAGCAGGACATTAGTATCGCTGATTAAAACCCAAACTTCCTAATATCAAAGTAACTTCAAAGCCCGTCAATCGTTACACAGTTTTTTATACTCTTATGCCAATCCCTTCAGGGTGGAGAAGAACTCAACTATGGCAAGAAAATTTGAATATGTGATTGCAGATGAGTAGATTAATCTTATTAAATTTGTCATCAAGTACCCAAGACCTAATATATGGTTTTTCCAGCCACTTTATAAGAAACTTTTGACAGAAATCCCTCTTCTGTCTGACTTTGTTTCAATTGATTCGATCCATAGCTCAAAAGAACTAACTTCGGCACATAATAGCTTTAAGAAACTGCTTACCTGCATAAAATAGTACTACCCACTGAATCTTATAAAAATTAAACACAGGAAAATTAATTACCTAAGTTAACTGCATAAATAGAAGTAAACACAAGCACCCATCAACTACTCTTCTTGACTTCTCCTCACTGGCTGGTTGAGAGTTCATAACAGGTAGATATGCAGAACTCGATCTGAAGTGGTTAATCATGCTTGGGTATTGTAGGCCATGCAAAAACCATCAGCTTTTGAGGATATCTTTAATTACTGGCAGCTATTTAAAAGATGTGTATCTTACAATCTTCTCTATCATTAGGTTCAAGAAGATCAGAGTGGGAGAGTTTTGTGAAGTGTACAGTTGACGAATTTGGTGGAATGTCTCTTTTCTTTAGGTTTCTATTTAACTACGAGATTAGGGAGAACTCTTACCTAGTCTGGAGTTGATCCCATTCATCCCACATGGAAGATACACCCATCTAGAAGTTGTCCCAGTATGACTCCTTTCAATGAAATTTTAGGATAGGAATTGGACATAACTTTTGCCTTCAACTAAAATAATTGTCCTTTTTATTCCAGAGGAAAGTAAGCACTATTCAGAAGGGACCAAATGAGTACTGCCTAAGCAGAGCTATATATACTCTACAGCAATTTTCGGTAAGTTAAAACACAATACCTATGCAAATATCTTGACACGGTCATAATATTCATGAAAATAAGTAGTTTCCTTCCACGTACATGGAGAAGGTGCAAAAGACAATCACACAAAGGTAGAGATAAGCATGGGACAAATATGAGGCAACTGTCATACCCACCATGCTGTAAAAATATAAACTCATATCCGTTTCATACCTATAGTAGGTAGAAAGTTATTTACTTGCCACTTGCCTCATGGGTAAAATATTTTACATGCCACCCATCTCATTTACCCATGTACTAATTCAAAAAAAATTTAAGTGTTAATCAAAACAAAACATAATTTAAAATAATATTTAAGTACAATCTACTCAACAATAAATATAAGGTAACATTTTACAATGTACAATATTAAGTATTTGTTAACCAAATTTTAATTAATTTGAGTAGAATTAAAAATAAAACTAAAATTTATTAATTATATATAGCGAGAAGTGCTGGGCAGGTATATCTTTACAATCATACTCCCTCCATACTCATTTCAGATTTAGAACTTTCCACCTGCATACACCATATACTCTGTTGATTAAAATTTTTATTCGTACCATCTGGAGAAAGTTGGGTGGGTCAGTGAGTAACCCGCCACTGTGTCCACCTTTACAGAAAGGTTTATGAGGCCCCAAAGTCATCTTAATTATAAAAGAATGATCTTAAAATGAAAGGTATGTAAGTTTTAAAATGAGTAATGTTGCTAAAAGAAATAGATAACAGTTCCTAAAGGAGAGCACAAAATTTAGAACAAGTAACAAGAAACCAAGACAGATTATTCCGCAGCAAAGCATTGACTAACCTCATTGATAATCCGTCACTCACACATATGATTCTGAAAAAAAAGTTCAAAAAGTGAATAGAGAAATAATGAGCATGAGAATCATAAAAAGAAAAAAGAATTACACAGAAGTAAAGAATCATCTTTAATGAAAAACCATATTAAATATTATTTATAAGATATATTATTCAGCACATCGTTTAAGTAGGAGTACCATCAGGGCATGAACTAATGTCAACACTGGATGCCAACTTCTTAGCATGACCTGCAGATGTTGTTTTGACAACCTCAAGTTTAAACCCTGCAAGCTGTCACAGTTTGCAAATAGTATTCTGAATATGTAGGAGAATATATTTTTTATAGTGAAAAGCATTTTCAATAAAACATTTTAAGAAAAAAATTTGACAGGTAATGAAATAAACATAAAATGGAAAGGAAATTTCACTAACAATGAGATGAAAGGAGGTAAAAGGAACGGAAATTTCACTAACAATGAGATGAAAGGAGGTAAATAAATGGGGAACTATGCATGGGTAGCAAATAAAAATATCTTGGTAATAGAGTATAGATTTGATTAAGTTATTTTTTTTCATAGAGAAGGAAAGAAAGGTACAAAAGATGAGGAGATGTCCTCCCCAAAAACTATCAAAAAAAGAGAAAGTTTGGGGAAAGGGGTGATGGGGAAAGACTTGCTACAG